ATTATATTTGATGTTTCAGTGTGTAGGCCGTCTTAAAGTTAGGCTCAGAAAAGTTTTTTTGTTTTTTTTTATGTTGTAGAACTGATTTTTTTAAAACCCAAAAAGAATATTTGATGAAAAACTTTGAAGCAGTTAATGAGATTCAGATTTTTTAATATTTAAAAACTGGGGGAAAAGAGACATAACCACCCTTTTTCCCTCCTTACTTTTCCCCAGCTTTTAAATATTGAAAAATCTGTATAGCTCTCATTAACTGCTTCCAAGTTTTTTGTCAAATATACTTTGAGGCTTAGAAAGATTAGTTCTACAACATATCAATAAATTTATGTCCTCCAGAGCTTGGCTTTACTAAATAGAAATGCTACTTCCACATCAATAATTATATCTACAGTACCCTTGTCATATTTTCTTAAAACATAACATTCGTTTAAATATTTTTGTCTTGCCATATTATTGTATATACATAAAATCAATATTTTCTTATTTATGTGAGTAGCAATTATTTCAGTACTGTATTTTATTTTGTAGCTCTCTGTTTAGTACCTGAGTATATTTTTTCTTTAAAGTTTAAACTTAGGTTCCAATCACAATTGTAAACATAGTGTATAAAAAGTGTACTCTTTTTTGCCACCTCAACCCCTTTAAAAAGTGTACATTCATGGAAAATGTTGATTTTGCAATACTGTTCTCTATGGCCTTTTTTTTTAATGGGTACATAGATACATAATTAGGTTTAAATATATCCATATTGGCATGTTAATAAATTTAGAAAACCGATTTCAATCAATATTTTAAGCTTTTGTAAATTCCTTTCATTTAATTGTGTATTTAGTACCAGGCCCTTTCCCCCTTAGCATACTGTTTATGCATTTGTTGATAATTATGAACGGTCCATAAAGTGCAGGGTTATCTACCTTATGTTTTGGAATTTCTTTTTTGAGTCTTTCACATCTATTAAATTCGTGTAAAGTTAAATCTAATACTGTACTGTAATATTATATAAAAATATATAAAACTTTTTCTTTCATCTACCCTTATCAATATCGCTTACAGTACCTTGATGTTATTTAATGTATTTATAATATTTTATATAGGCCTGCAATTTACTGTAAATACAGCTATTATATAAAATTATTTTTATAAATCTTTATATGTTTGCACAATACCACTAGTGCTACATCGTGTGACTTCATAATGCTAGTAAAATTCAATGCAGTTTATTCTTTTAAGATATTGAATCCAGTTTTGTTTTTTTTTTCTATTTTTAGATGATGCAATGCAAACATTATTTTAGTTTGCTTGTTTGACCTGTTATATATATGTTTAATATGTGTTAAATAAAGATCTTGAGAATGAATACATTTTGTTGGGATTTCTGTACAGTGGGTTCAAACATTTCATGTTTCCTGCCATGAACTACCAAAACACATTTGTACATTACAATCA